AAGTTTACTTCTCTGAAGTTTTGATATAATCAGAAGTGCAGAAATACATTAACTAAAACAGCGGGGTAAATTTTAACCGAGGATTAGCGCTAACCCACATTTAACCGAACAACTGGCCCCAGTTGCAGGCCTAGAAAATATATTTCTCTTTCTGGCAGCAAAATCCAAAAATAAGAATTTCCTGTTTAAGTGAAATCATGGATAATAAAATAAATGGATAGGAAACTAGCTGACGTGACCTAATGTTTTCAATGGGCTGATGGCGTGTTTGGATGGCTCAACCTAGTTGAAAACCAAATTCTCAAAAAAGACATGTTTAGCAATAATACAGCTAAGCATTTTAGTCCAAGTGCAAATAAATATAACCACGCCATTCTACGATGAAAACTCTAAGTATTCCCAGTCAATTTTAGCAAATATTTCAAGCACTTAAACAGTGAAAACTACATCGCAAATTTCGTTAAAATTTGTGGACGCCAATTTCGTAGCTACAAGTGTAAAAAAATACAAAACAAAGACGAAAAACATTTACGTGGAATACTTTGTCGTGGCTTAGGCATGTTTTTAAAACAATTAGACCAGTTTATGCTTCAATATCACCCTTTTAAAGTGGGAAGTATAGCAAAACAACAAAAATGCCGAGAACTTTGGTAATATTCGCAATACGCGTGACGTCACGTTTTTCAACAAGGTTGCGGCCAATGACGTCAGAAGTTTCCTATCCATTTATTTTATTATCCATGATCAAATATAAAACTTGTGGACTGATTTTGAAAATATAAAAATGTGGATTTGAGAGAACGTTTGATGCTGCACATTGTGATAAATAATTGTGGTGGACAATCTTGATTTGCGTTATATGGCATTCCAGTATATAAGATGACAAAAAATTCCTGCACGGTGTAAGAAAATTTCTTGCGAAGATATGTTGTCTAAAATTTCCTGTTTCCAGCACCCTCCCAGTTGTTTTTTTATCTCACTCACTAAAGCATGGATATTTCTCTTTGGGGGGAGGGGGGATGCAAGATGCTCACACTCCAACCCCTGCTTTCTATTATGTACAGCGATAAATTGAATGTGTCCAGTGTAACATCATCTGAGTACATACACCGCAATCATTATACCCTTATATTTGTCTCCAAATCTTTGCCTTATTTGGTATTTTTTGCATGTTGTTTATATATAGTACATAATTGATTGTTCGAAAATCGACTCATTGCCAAGTGTGTCTGTCAATGTTGGTGGCAAGAATTTCACGTTAACCGGTGCGCAGTACGTTATTAAAGTAAGTTTGAGCAACTTTTTAAAACACTTATACTTTGTAGTCCTTTTTGTTACGTACGCTGATTTTATACGATTTTGTCCGTTTTATAATAAGTTAACTATCCATTATATGGAGGTACCCGTTAGTAGAAGTTCCATTATAGAGCAAGACCGGATTTTGGTGCAGTAGAAAAATTTTGGGCGAGTTGCAACGGTCTGGGCCCGATCTTGCCTGGAATGTTAGATTTACGACTTGCCCATAATGTATACAGCTAATTCAACAAAGGTTGTTCTTTGCAAACCTTAAACTCTAAACCTTAAACTCTAAGCGTGCAAAGCATAATGTATCATTTAATCATTTTAGAAATCATATATGGGGCCCATTTCTTATATATATATACATGCATGGTAAATATCTCCTTTCGAAAACAATGCATTCACAAATAGCTACAATGTTCAACTGCTAAACTTGAAACATACTGTATGTTCCCATAAAGCTTTGCTCGCTTAGAGTTTAAGGCTTGCAGAGAACATCAACCTTTTTTGAATTGGTTGTATATATGGTTGTATATATAATTGTATATATGTATAATGTAATAATCATTAAAGTTCGTTCTCACATTTTTTGTAAAATTTTGACTTTGATCTATCATTTGACTTTTCTGAAGGAGGGCAAAGGGTAGGGTAGTTTCAAATCTCAGGGTAGTTCCTTCCTGCATTTCCTTTCAAAATCTGGCCATGCATTACAGTAAATAACGAATTCAATTGTGATGGCTGTTTTTTTTTTCTTTTTAGGAGACTATCCTTGGGCAAACTGAATGCCTCAGCGGATTCATGGGTCTTGATGTTCCACCACCTATGGGACCTCTTTGGATCTTAGGGGATGTCTTCATTGGTCCCTACTATACCGAGTTTGACATGGCTAAAGACCGAGTTGGGTTCGCCAAAGCTACCTAAACATCGTCGTAAAGTACACAAACGCACTAGATAATGAGCATGATTTTTAATTTTCACAAGATGTAACTGTTTTAATAATGCAAGCGAAAACCAGGAACTGTTGATGTGCATGTGTAGCATACAAAAATACTTTTGATAAGTATATGCAAACAGAAAACAAACCAAATAGGTTTTTACTGTTCTGCTTATACTCAATATTTAGTACAGCATTTAAAAAATAGTAACAAGCGTATGCCCCGCTTTTACCCCAAATGAATAAATAGATCACAAAAATCACTTTGATAAACTTAGAATAGTGTTAGATTGCATCAGTTCTTTAGACGTGCTTGAGAAACACGCTTCAAATAAAATAGACAATAGCTGCTAATCAACTTGTTTTGATACACAACATGAGCTTTTTTACTTCAAGTGCAATCAGAATTTAAAACAAGATTGGCTAGGTAGCGAAACGACCGTGATTCGAATTAAAGTGGTTTATATTACATAACCCTGAGCAAGAAGGTAAACAATAGGCGAACCTTGAATATATTTTTAAATTCTGAATTAAGTTACTATAATGTAAACATCTTCGAATGTATGATAACCTAAAGGCAAGATTACAGCTTGTTCTCATACACTCTAAATTCTAATCCTTAGGCCTGTTTCAAACGTCGCGCTTCTCATGTGCCGAACGCATTAGAAACAATAGATGATCAGGCATTTCAGCCGACTATCTATTGTTTTTAATGCGTTCGGCACATGAGAAGCACGACGTTTGAAACAGGCATTAGTGTTATCTCCCTGCACGAGAAACGCCTCTTTAGTCTATATGGGTTATTCATGCACTTCTAAATTTGTACAAATTTATATCAGGAAGTAACGAGATGAATAATTAACAGTAGTTATTCTGCGAACTCGAGTCGTATATGAGCTGCATGAGCTATCAGCCACATACGACTAAAGTGAGTATAGAATAACTGTTTAATATAGACAACTACTGAATTCACAGACTCATTGTATTCAGTGGCGGAAACTAGGGGGTGCGACCCCCCCTCCCCCCAAAAAAAAAATTTTACTAAAATTATATTTTAGCTAGATTTCATAATTCGTTTTGAAAAATGAAAGCACAATATAAGGAAGCACTATTTGTTACAATAACAACAGCAACGAAATGCTAAATTTTAATAGAAACAAGCTAAAAACAAGCTAAAGTATTCTAAATTTATAATCTCACAAGTCACACAATGATGAGTGTTATGAATTCTGAAAAAAAGTCAAATTAAATTAGTTTTAAGCGCTAGCTGCGCTACAAGTCTTTACTTAAACTGTACTATTTGGGATTCTTGATTCACCCATCGATCAAGCACTTTGTCCAAGTTTATCCTATTTAACAGGTTTTTATTCATGGATAGCAACATAAAGTCACTGGCCAATGAACTGTCTAAGCTATTACGAGCCCAGCTCAGTATCCGATTCATAACACTGAAGCTTCTTTCCACGGTTGCGTACCACCTGGCAAGGTCTTTGATATGGCGATCACCTTGAATAAGTTGGGGTACAGCTCAGGGTCGATGTTCTTTCCGGCAGCAATTAGAATCTTCGCCCGTTCGCACTCGGTTTTAAGCAAGGCAGAGTCAATATGGAGACAATACCAATGAATGCAACCTTAATTGTGTCCAGTTACGTCAGTATATAGACTCTAAATTTATGACATACATGCATGTATAATAATAATATAGAGTATCTTCCGAGTGTTCATAAAACAATAGCAATTAATTGTATCAAATTGACTACGGACTATACGGTATCCATTCTATAGGTAGGAATTTTCAGGTGTTCTTTCACTTCTCTGGTTTAGATATTTATTACGTACTGCAAGTTCAGGTTACTGTTTTTTACCACATGATTTATACCAAAATGCACGATTAACTTAATGTTTTGAAAACCTGGAATTTCTTACAAAATGTGCTCTCAGAATGCTGTAAATGCCATTTCAGGGATCCAAATTTTAAAAATCCTCTGAGGTGGCATGCCCCCAGACCCCCCTACAAATCTCGTGCC